TGAAACACCCTGTTTAGAGGAGAGACCAGAACAGTTTGAAAATTCCGTGGCGGTTTGCTTTTCCAATGAAAAACGTACGTGCGTATATCTGTGGAGATATAGCTGCTATAACTTGTGCATGGTGTAAACAATCGTTGTGTTTAAAACATTTCTTCCATGATTTTCATTATTGCCAACAATACATTGAATAAAAAAAAGAAATTAAATTAATAATGTAGAATACAATTTTTGGTAGTCAACCATTATTTGTCAGTTACTTTTTAACTCGTTATTAATAAATATTAATATAATTGCACTAACTTTTGTGTTATTTAAATAGAGTAAGGATAAAAAAACTTTTTCTGTTTTTCTGAAAATTATTAGCGAAAATATATTTTCTACCCCAAACTCCTAACCCTTGTAAGTTCATTCAAAAGTACTACCTAACGTATAAAAAAGTCATCGTGGTAAATTGCACCAAAATCGACAATTTACTCAAAAAAAATTAATGTTTGGGGTGGTTAGGGTAGTTAATCCCAGCCACCCCCAAATGTCCTATAGAGTTTATTTTACTGCGTAAATCTTAATTTGCAACTAATTTATGGTTTTCTTCAAAATATTGTTCAAATGTGTAACAGTTTATCACATTATTCTTAAGGAAAGAGGTTATCTATCATACCCCATAACATTGCAGGTGATATTGTGAGAGGCAAATAAGAAAAACCACGTAATTAATATTTTTAAACGTACTAATTAACTGTGGAGATCCCTCTGGTTTTTGACGTGATTGCATCTATTACATCTTCTGCTATTGGTACTGATGGAATTTCCATTGAGATGATCAAACTGTGTTGCCCCACCATTTTGCCATATTTGACCCACATACTGAATTGTTGTTTAGTTAACCATGTCTTTCGCTTGGAATAGAAACGCGCAGAGGTTATTCCTCTGCTCAAAAAGGGTAACTCATGTGAGTATAGTGACTTGCGACCAATAAGTCTTCTCCCTGTTCTTTCTAAAGTTTTAGAGAAGGTTATGAAGGCTCAATTGGTGGAGTATATGGAGACCAATAGTTTGCTCCATTCAGAACAATCGGGTTTTCGATGTGGGTATAGTTGCACATCAATGTTAAATCTAACTGATGATATATTGTCCGCTGTTGACGTAGGAGAGAGTACTGCTGTGGTTTTTTTAGACTATTCAAAAGCATTTGACACTGTTAACCACACCATTTTGAGCAAACTACTTCGTTATCTGGGTTTTAGTGAAGACTGCGCCTTCACACTATTGAGTAGCTATCTTAGTGATCGCACACAAAGGGTGAAAGTTGATGATGCCATGTCTGGTGAACTCGCACTGTGTAATGGTGTTCCCCATGGATCTGTGCTGGGACCTATTTTATTTTCTATCTATACGTCACAATTTAATAAATTTATTAAATTCTGTAAAATGAGTAAGTACATATGCGGATGATACCCAGCTTTACGCTTCATACGCGACAGCGGGCAGAGGTATTGCTGAGGCTGGTATTAGCGGTGACCTTGATACGATTTTTGAATTAGCAACATACCACCAGCTAAAAATAAATCCTGACAAATCTATGTGGATGAGTTTTAATGACCAATAGCGCAACCCTACTTCGCATTTAGCCATTAAGATGAATAACACCTTAATTAAAAAGGTCTCTGAAGCTAAGTGTCTTGGTATGATTTTATATATATTTTATATATTCAGCGATCATATTTTTTTTGCGTCGGTTGTACCCGCATCGTTCATGTTTACCTTTGAAATTAAAAGTGCTCCTCTGTGATATGTTTGTTCTTTCACAATTTAATTATATGTCTGCTGTATATCATAGGGCTATAGATGCAGTCACGTCACGAAGTATACAAAAGGTTCAGAATAGTTGCCTCAGATTCATTTATGGGATTCGCAAATTTGATAGAGTTTCTCATAAACTTAAGGATGCTGGGTGGCTGAACATGAGCTCTCGACGGGAGTTTCATAGTTTGTCTCTCTATCATAGAATCGTTACCTCTGGAGTCCCGGAGTACCTGCATAATAAAATTAAATATAAACCACAGTGCGAGGGAAGTCAGACAAGGTCAGGTATTAGTTTCTATCCTCCAAAACATAGAACATCACTTTTTCAAAGGTCATTTACATATCATGTTTATAAATCGTATGGAAGCTTGCCACATGGACTACGTCAACTGAAATATGATCAATTTCGAAGAAAATTGAGGAATATGATTTTTCAGCAGTCAACGGGTCTTGTCTGATGTTTGTTTTTCTTTGTTTCTCTGTGATTTTTTTTGACCTTATTCTTATTGATATAAAGTCATTGTTACGATGTTAACAGTTACGCCATCAGTTATTACACTGAGTCCTTTTTTAATTTTCATTATTATTGTTTTTTTTCTCCTCTTCTTTCTTTTTGTTTTCTCTTTCATTTAATGTATGTTTGGGTCTTTTGGGCCCTTTCATTTAATTTAATTATGTTTAAATTTAAATTTGATATGATGCTGGTGATACTGTATTAATGATTTCAAGATTTTGCCTTTGTTTTTTTTCTTTTTATTTGTTATAATTCATAGAATTTTTTTTTACGGTTGGATAGAACAGACTATTCTGGATCCCGCCGTTTTATCTCCATATATTATGTATATATTTGTATTGTAGTTTCTTCTTTGTAATGGAGACAATAAAGTCATTTATTATTATTATTATTATTATTATTATTACTATAAGGATACTTAATATCGCCATCGACACGGTAGTTTTTAAAATATTCCAAAAGACTAGGGGTATTGTACCCCCTGAAGCCCTCATCGCCATTGCCATTGATATATCATCATATATGTGTGATATATCAATGGAAAGCTCTTTGAAAATGAATATCAGTTTACATTTACAACATTTCGATAGCTATGTTCGTCTTCAGGCTATAAAAGAATATAACGTATATCTTTCGACCCGATTTCCAACCCTTATAACTCGCCCCAGGGGCTTTATTAGCACGCATAAAAAAATATAAAAACCTTATTTTTGGCCATACTATCGCTGTACCAAATTGCAACAAAATCGGTAAGGGACAGTCCCGCCACTTCTCTTGTGAGAGCAAAAGTGTTACTAAGCAATGTGTTTAGGGTAAAATTTGCTACAACTTTTGATATAAAAGTATTTCTGTATCATGCTCGGAATACCGATTTTTTCCATTAAACACTAGTGAAACTAAGAATTCTTCTAATTTTCATATTTTCGAATAGTTCTCTACATTGATGCATCTGAGAGCAAAACTGTTACAGAGCAATGTGTAAAGCAATGTGTTAAGGGTAAAATTTGCTACAACTTTTGGTATAAAAGTTTTTCTGTATCATGCTCGGAATACCAATGTTTTCCATTAACCACTAGTGAATCTACGAATTCTCCTAATTTTCATATTTTCGAATATTTCCCGACATTGATGCATCGAGAGCAGAAGTGTAACAAAGCAATGTGTTAAGGGCTAAATTTGCTACAGCTTTTGTTCCAAAAGTTTTTCTGCATCATGCTCGGAATACCGATTTTCTCCATTCGCAACTTGTAAAACTACGAATTCTTCTAATTTTCATATTTTCGAATAGTTCTCTACATTGATGCATCTGAGAGCAAAAGTGTTACAGAGCAGTGTGTAAATCTCCTACACCTTTTGTTCTAAAAGTTTTTCTGGATCTTGCTTGGAATACCAATGTTTTCCATTAACCACTTGTGAAACTCCGAATTCTCCTAATTTTCATGTTTTCGAATATTTCTCTATATTGATGTATCTGAGAGCAAAAGTATTACACAGCAATGTGTAAAGGGTAAAATTTGCTACAACTTTTGTCCTAAAAGTTTTTTTGTATCATGCTCTGAATACCGATTTTTTTCATTCGCAACTTGTAAAACTATGAATTCTTGTAATTTTCATATTTTCGAATATTTTGCGACATTGATGCTTCTGAGAGCAAAAGTGTTACCAAGCAATGTGTTAAGGATAAAATTTGCTATAACTTTTAGTCTAAAAGTTTTTCTGTGTCATGCTTGGAATACCGATTTTTTTCATTAACAACTTGTGAAACTACAAATTCTTCTAATCAAGGGCGTCGCCAGCCAGTGGGCCAGGGGGAGGGCAGGACAAAAAGAACTGAACTGGGGGCTGGGAAAATAGCCCCCCAAGGAAAAAAACCAGATCAAATTATTTAAAACATAATTTTCGTGGGTTCTTAGCGAATTGGTCAACCAGATTATTAATAAAACCCTCAAAGTTCTCAAAAATATGCTTCCTATGCACAATCATCATTGCAAGACCATATTCTGCCATAGTTTCTAAGCCAGGTTTTTATTCTCCTCAAGCTGCTAAAAGATCGTTCAGTAGTATATGTCGTGCAGGGCAAAGTGGCCAAAATTATAAGGGCTTTTCTCGTTTCAGGGAAAAAATGTCGGCCTCTTTTATGACATCCACAACACTTAGTTCTTTTGAGTCAGGTTTATCTTGCCATAGTTCGATTTCGTTGTTGATATTTGATAAATTGTAAAATTGGGAAAATACTTCACCAGCTTCTACATGGTCTTCAAGGGACATGTCTAACATTTGAGCTGGGTGTAATTTAGATAAGGAAAATGACGGGGTGTTTTCTTCAGAAAAGCGAAGTTCAAGAGAATTAATAATCGTGTCTAATTATGGTAATATTAAAAACCTCCGCCAGAATTCCGAAGGGCTGCTGGGTGGTTGTTACGATGTTGTTGTCTCCCAATAATACGGGGCACTGACTTCATGTCTCCCAGTCCAAGTTTATTACAGGACATGCTGTATTTTCGAAAAAATAAAAATTCAGATTTTAAATTTGATTAGCAAAAATATTTTAAATAAAAATGTTTAAAGTAAATTGTAAAACGTATACAAAGTAATAATGAAAGTTTACTTTCTTAATTTCAAATAAAACCAAACTCGATTCGGTGTAATATATTTTTTTTATATCAAAGTAGTTGGTAACAATGAAAATATTCACCAAATAAAGTTAGGTTAGGAAAAGCACACAATCAAATAATCATCCAACAAAATTTAAAAACAATTCAAGTTATCCAATTAATAAATTGAAATGGCAGACGAGGAAAACGTAAATGGTAATTCAGAGGATTCCGAAAAGTCGCAAAAAAAAGGTGCTAAATATGACAGTGGGGCGGCGGATTTAGAAAAGGTTACGGATTATGCCGAAGAAAAAGAAATTTCCACTCAAGACGTTGCGGATGCTATATCAGCTATTGGTGATCGTAGAAATAAGGAAGCTCTTGAAAAACAAGCAAGGGAGAAAGAACTGTTAAAAGTTTCAATTAAAAAGGAAGATGTTGACTTAATTGTTAGGGAAATGGAAATATCCAGGATAAGAGCCGAAAGAACTTTAAGGGAACATCATGGGAACGTTGTGAAAGCTTTAATTGCATTAACTGATTAATATAAATAATAAAACTTTATGTTAAAAGTTCTCATTTTATTTCTAACATTAATTCTAAATTGACAGTTTGAAAACAAATTAATTTAAAAATCATTAATTATATTTCAAACTAAAATACAAAACTTAATTTCATTATAAATATTCTCTATCCATTGGAGTTTTCTTTGCTTTTCTATCTCGAGACCTGGGAAACCATTTATGTTTAGTTGTATATGTAATTCTCATTAGCTCTTCCCTTGCCATATCTGGCGATTTTTTATTAAAAACCTCTTTTAATTGATGCGATAATTCTGTCTTTAAAACACTGGAACTTTCAGCTTTAACTTCTGGTAAAGGTCTTGTATTTTCGTATGAAAATTCTTTTTTTGGATGCCAAAAAACGAAGGTACTCCCATCATCCGTTTTAGCAAACTTATTCGAGCTAGACCCTAATCGAACACTGATGCTGTACTTTAACACACATTTTCTTAAAAGAGACATTTTTAAGTATTCTTTATTGCTAAAAAGTCTATTAAATTCTCACTTGTGCAAAGAATTAACCTCACTAGAAATATATCTGACGTCTAGAAAAACGTGATTATTTACTCGTAATTTTAAATAAGTATTAAAGACATTTGGTATACTTGGCATAATTTTTATAAAATATAAGTTGATAATCTATTATAACTGTTTTAGTTTTAACCAATTTGTAAAACGAAATAGAAATTAAATCGCTTGTTATAAAACAATTATACTCCTCTTAAAATAAAAGCACTGTATTCAATATGACAGTTGAGGTTATGTTTATTCCTTTGCACAGGTTATAAAATTAAAACCCAAAAAATATATTAAACATGCTAAAATGATTCAATCATCTGTGATAAAACACGTACAAAGACTTATTTCCCGTTCAACTCTAGCTGCAAAAAGAAATTTTCACACAAACATAAATAAAAAATTGTTTAAAAAGGCGGATTTTGTGCATGAAACTCAAAAACTACGAGTTAGATCAACCTTATATTATGTAGCAGCTGCGGGTGTATTAACTGTAGGACTTAGTTATGCTGCCGTACCCTTATATAGAATGTTTTGTCAAGCATACAGTTATGGAGGTACAACTGCTTCCGGACATGATGCAAGTAAAGTTGAGACGATGACAGTGAATAAAAGAAGACCTATTAAGATTAGATTTAACGCAGATGTTGGGTCGAGTATGAGGTGGAATTTTAAACCACAACAATTAGAAATAACTGTAATAATAAACATACAATCAAAAGCAGGGTCATTAAAAGATTTTTTTTAGGTGTTACCTGGAGAAACAGCTTTAGCTTTTTATACAGCTTTGAATCCAACAGATAATCCTGTTACTGGTATTAGTACTTATAATGTTGTTCCATTTGAAGCTGGACAGTATTTTAATAAAATTCAGTGTTTTTGTTTTGAAGAGCAACAACTAAACCCACATGAACAAGTAAAAAATCACTTTTTTAGTTCATTAATCTAATTTATTTTTTTAAGGTGGATATGCCCGTGTTCTTTTACATTGACCCAGAGTTTACAGAAGATCCTAAAATGGAATTGGTAAATGAAATAACCTTATCTTACACATTTTTTGAAGCTAGGGATGGTTTAAAATTACCAGTACCTAGTTTTATGAAGTAGTTAATAAAAAAAGACAATTTAGCAAGGACATAAAATTTTTATTTTTATTACTACATAACAATGAATACAATGATCAATACTATTTAAACATTTTTTAAGAGAGCCAATAACCGTTATTAATATTTAATTGTAGCTGTTATAGGGAAAGATCTCCTCATCCCCATACATTTTTCCCGGTCAATAAACAACGCGCTCACTTTATTATGAAGTTCTGTTTCCAAATTGGATCGCGTTTTTAATAATTCTTGATGTTGAGCTTCCGCCTCTTGTAATTTCTTATGTAAATATTCTATGCTGTCTTGTATATCTTTAACTTCTGTTACAAGTCTATCTTGAGCCATATCCCTACATAATTCAATTTCTTTTCTATGCGTTCTTGCTTCTAATCGAGTCATAGCCACTTTCATAGGATTCGATTTATCCAAAATCGCTTTTCGAAGTAATTCCAAATTCTTTTCAATATCAAAGATTTCTTGTTGAATCTAAAATTAAAAAGATTTTATTGAAAATATTTGAGGGTAAATAATTTAATAATGATACCTTATGGAGATGCATTTGTATTTTACTCTTAGTTTCAAGTTGTTCGGCAGCTCTTCTCGCCAAAGCGTTGTTAGTGTTACTCCATTGGTCCCAAATTTGACTGGAAACATTATTTAGTAAATTTTCTCCTTCGGAACGAATTTGCGCCGTTTTTCCACGTTCAGCTTGGGAACGATTTACAATACGATTACTTTTTTCTGCCCATGTTGTTGTTGTACTCACACTAGAATAAAAGAAAAGGTGTAAAAACATTGTTTATATTTTTAGCTAACAATAAAAATATTAGAGGAATAAGATAATAATTATAATTTAAAAGTTGCCATTAAAAAAAATTAATTTTCGAAAAAACTAAATCTATAAATATAGACATATGATGCTATACCAAGTTATATTAAAATTTGGCGGGGGCCTCGAAAGTTTAATAAAAATTGGGACATTCCATTTAAAATAACGAAGTAGGGGTCCATTTCCGGTATAACAGGAAGTTGCAGAAAACTGAAAATGTTTTTATTGAAACGAGCTCTTTGGATAAACACTGTATGAGGAATATAACCCCCTATAGAATTATATGAAGAATGTTGGTCTGATGTAAGGATTAATTATTATAAAGGATTATAAAGACATATAGAATGCAGTTGTAATGCATGCGTGTATTTATGTTGAAACCCGTCGGATCCTAAAGTTAGATAATTGGTATGCGTGGTCTCTTATGTGTCGTAAAGAAGTGCATTACAGTTATTTACGATTTTCCAAAAAATTGCAGCTAACCTATGAAATAATAAAATAATTCCACTTGCAGTGGGATGTTTTCATACATGTTATACATCCACGTACATATATAATAAACTCTTAGGTGTCGGTCATTATGGAAATTATGCCCAAGAAATGTTGGAAAACGCTTTATAGGATATTAAATCCTAAAAAATGTCATACAGACGAGCTGCTGAGGTATAGAACATACCTATTGCAACTCTGCAATAAAGTAATAGGACGTCATCCATTAAAAGCTGGTGGCCAAACAAGCTTAAATAAAGAAGCAAAGTCTTTCCCATAGTATTCAAAAGGCTGCGGAATGGGGGTTTCCCCTGACCAGAAATGATATCCGTTTATTCGTCAAAGAATGCCTTGATCGTAACGGAAAAACAATTAAGTGCTTCAAGACCACCATGCCTAGTTTTGACTGGTTATTAATAAAACTATAAAACTTTAAACCATCAAACTTTAAAAAAAAGTATGATTCAAATATTTGACTTCATAACGTGCAGGTTTTTGTCTGGCTTTTAGACAATGATAAACATAATCAGCAGGAACATTTATTTTACAATTTCGTATCTTTCGCTCAATAGTAGAATGCATAGAGTTCTCCATTTGTGTATGACCCTTATACAAAGATTTATGGTTTATTGTTATATTATGAGTTATACTTAGATAGAGGTGTCGCGTAAATTAAACTTTTTAAATATCCCCATAAAGAAAAATCTACGGGATTCAAATCTGGAGATCGTGCTGATCACGCAATGGGACCCCTTCGCCCTATCCATCTCCCAGGAAATGTGTTGTTTAGATGTTCCTTAATAGCAAGCGTAAAGTGTGGCAGAGCACCATCCTGCATAAACCAGAGATTTTGCCTCCGATTTAACGGTAGGTCTTCCAAAAGTCAAGAGAGGAAGTCAAGAGTGTTTGTCAGGGAACCAAAGAATGTATACATTCTTTCAAATGGTTTCAAATGGTTGTGGTAAAACAATCGGTCCTAACAACCTATGATGCCTTACTTAAGTGTATTACTAGATGCTGCCTTACTATATGTATGTTTAGACTGAAACGCTATTGGTATCTGATTTCAACAACAGCTCGAGGATTCTGGTCAGACCACACGTGATTATTATGGAAGTTGAATATTAGTTAAAAAATCAGAACATCTTCCCGTAAAAACCATTGATAGAATATCGAATTTGCATGGTAATCCGGTGGTGAGCCCTCACAGCTTGCACACGCAAGGGTAAAGCTAAGATTCCACATGCACGGATTACTGGCGCCAGTTCATTTTTTTAATAATGTATTCCTTATGAACCATGCTACTGTAGAAGTCACAAATCAAACAACAAAAATCGTTAGTTTTGCAAAAAAATATACTAATTTGATTGAGTTAAGGTTGAAAGAATTTATGTCTATCAAGTTTGACACACGATTTCTAAAAAAAGGAGTAGTACAACACCCTTGGCAAGTAATTTTAAAAGATGGCCTGTTTAGTCAAGTTTCCAAAATGGTACAACACTTGCCATTTTTCTTATCATAAAAAATATTATTGAATGTTTTTCTGCAAAAAACACGTTATTTAAAAAATTCGTACTTTTGTATGTTATTAGTATTTACTTTTTATTTCCTCTTAACTTTGTTAGAAGATGTGCCAGTCAATATCTACGATCTACAAAATGTGGTTTCAACAAGATGGTTGCCCGTATGTCTTGCAAAAAGACTCTTTCAAATAAGGTTAACCTAAAGACAAAATTAAACAAACAAATTTATTTATTATTAATTTCATAGCATTATTTTCCTTAAAACTAAGGCAAATGCTCAAATTATTTGCCGTCGGCACTAATACAAGCTCTGCATCGTCACAGAAAAGATCTTTTTACTAGTTGTGCAAATCTCTTTGCATTTATTTCTTCTGCTGCTGTATAAATATTGTGGCGCAGTTCGGCAAGATTTTCAATCGGTTTTTAATATACTGTTTCTTTTATGCAATCCTAATAAGAAAATCAAGGGGATTTAGACCCAAAGAATGAGGAGGCTACGTAATCGAACCACGACGCCCAATCCATCTTCCTGGGTATTCTGTATGCAATCCCGTACAGGACAAGTATAATGAGCTGGGCAACCATCTTGTTGAAACCACATTTCTCTGTAGATATTGAGTGGCACATCTTCTAACAAAGTTGTTAAATCATTTTGGAGGAAATACAAATAACATACGAAAGTATGAATTTGTTAAATAACGCGTTTTTGGCAGAAAAACAGGCAATAATATTTTTAGGAAAAGAAAAATGGTAAGTATTATACCATTTTGGAATCTTGACTAAACAGGCCATCTTTTAAAATAACTTGCCAAAAAAAGGCCACAAAAAAATAACTCAGGTTCGCGAAAGCCGCAACTTTCTATCTTTCATAATACCTGAGATACCCTGCAAACTCCTCGAAATTTGGACACCTGTACAGTAATACCCCGTAGTTACGCGATAGGTAGGACTGACAGTAGCCGCGTAAATCGAAAATCGTCGAAATTCGATAAATACATATCATAAAATCAAGGATTAATAAACATTAATTTTATTAAAAAAATGTATGTACAGGCTGGTTCAAATTCGATGTCCGAATAGGCTATCTCGGAAACTATAAGAGTTAGAAAGAAAGTAACTAACATGTATCGATCCTTTTTTTTAAATAAATTCCAATGTCAAAAACGTAAGAACTTAAGACGGGGTCGCATAAGTCGAGGTTTTACTGTACTCGATTATTGAGGGTATCGGCAAGTTTGTCCCCTTTGCGATGTCTTTTTCTCAAAAACTATCTGATGTAAAAATTTCAATTTTGAACAAGTGGTAGCCTGATGTGTTTAAATTTAAAAGAACAGAAATAAGCCCTGCGGAGAGAGGGGGTTCTGTCCACTCGGAAAAGATGGTGTCGGTGTGTGTTTCATATTGGATGTCGCGCCTTTATTTCTGTATGTAGGTAAAATTAAAGCGCAACGTCCAGTCGGAAACACACATCAGTCGGATTGAAGTACTTCTGATAATACCTATCATACTGTTTTTTGGAGATGCTTGCTTTAACAAACATTTTTCAAGATTTTTTATAAGCTTGCTTATATTTGCATATTCGTATTGGAGAGTTAGTACTTTCTTTCAATATTTTAGAAAGTTGCTATTTTTCCGCAAGTCGTATCTGAATGTGAGCAGCAAAAATTAATTCGTTCGATTCTATAGCACCACGTAATTCTTTTGTCATACGTCTCTTACTGCGGTCAATACACTATTGCATGTGTATTTGTTTCAGTACACAGTGTATTTGCCTTTGATGGTCACCCTGACCATATTGTTGCCAAAGGTATCTTAAACGCATCCTATAGCCACTTATGACCTTTACTCAATTATATTCTTTCATATGCCCTGCAGTCCAGCTACGTTTAATTTCAGATTTCAAATAAGAAACTTTATGTTTAGCTTATCTTTTTTGGAAACTTTAGAGTTCAACAAAAGGTTTTATGAGTAGTATGTCGTTGAGTCTGTTGCCCCAAATTTGTCGCGGTCTTCCATTTCCTTGCTTTCTTGCCAGCCATACACGTTTCACCTGTTTTGTATTTTCATCTTTCTCGCTATTTCCTTCTTGTTGACAAACACCTAAGTTCATTTTGTGGTATACTTTCACAGTCTTTTCTATTTTTGTGTTCATATCTTTTTTATGATTTCCGCAGTCAATTCCTACTTACATTTCTTTCTGATTCAGCATTCGTGTCTTCGATTACTATTTTTACTTTTTCATTACTATCTATCGCCACTTTTAATTTTGTTTTATTCATTTTCATTCCGAATTATTTGACAATCTCATTCCGTTTATTTAAACTTTCATTAAGTTCTTTTTCACCCCTAGCTATAATGACCACGTCATCCGCGAAAACTCCCTTCAAAATCTCCACCGCTTGCATATTTGTAAGCCATAAACCTCTTCACCACCCTTTTACACCTCCTCACTATTTCATTCATACACGTTATAAACAAAGTTGGACTTAAACCATCTTGTTTTTAAAGCGTGCCTTTTGATTAAGCCTTGGCCACAAGCGACCTTAGCTTAATTAGTCAAAAGATCTACAACTTTATCTGATCAAGCCAAGGCCATTTGCGCCCGAGGCGCTACAATATGATGACTAGTTTTCAAAACATCTACAACTTTATCTGGTATGTATTTCTAAGAAGCTGTAATGTTACAATGTATGTACTAACTTTTTGGCGAGCGCTATACCTATACGGTCGGTATATCTTACTTCAATGATTTACTATTGCACTCCTTCTCCTGCACATCTGACCAGCCAAGATAGATTTATCAAGCTGTACGTGTCAAATTTCAAAAAAGCAATATATACAAATTGTTGAAATATCATAAATTTTGTACTGATCATCAAGAAATACATGCTATCTTTAAATTTGCCATGTTTTGCAAATTTTATCAGTGTTCTATACAAAGTAAGGAAATTGAATGTAGGCTGCTCCAATTAATATGAGAATCATCATTTAAAGAAAATTAATCTAAAATAATTGACTTACGTTGGATCAAAATTTTCAATTCCGCCATAATAATTAATCCCTCTTGAAAAATTATTCAATTGATGACACATGTTATCAATACCCAAAGCAGATTCTTTACTTCTAACGTCAACCTCCAATTCATGTTGAGCGGCTCTTCCATTTTTCATTTGAGCTTTAAGTCGACTTAACATATCGTTAATCTTTTCTTGAGAATTCCTGTATAATTCAACTTCTTTGAGAAGACATTGTTCGGGCGCATCGTGTACTAAATCCATACCAGCTCTCGTTTCTCTTTGGTATAAACATTCTTGAGCAATATGCAAAGGCCCTTCAATGTCTAAAACTGCCTTTTCCAAAGCTTGTTTAATACCAGTAGTTGAACCAAGCTCAGTGATCAATTTATCTAATTCCGTTTGAACTTCATTTCTCCAAAATGTGGTATCAGTGATTCGCTCGCCTAATCTTCTTCCAGCATCTCTTTGACCTTGAGAAGTTTTCTCGTCAGTTTCTCTAAAAATTTAATAAATTACATAATCTTTTACGTTGGTACTACTTTTCATAATTAAGATACTTTCTTAAGGTTATTTGAAATTTTACCTCATAACTCTTATAAACTCGCCCCTTAATCGTTCTGAATAATTTCTATTTGTATCCGTTTCATTATATAACTTTAAATTGTTCTGAGTCCATTCCAATGGAGTGTATCTGGTGTATAAAGCAGCTCTTGCGGCGTGTGCAGGATTACGTTCAAATCCTGTTACTAAATTTGGAAATTTCAATGGTGCTGTTGCCATACCATACGGTGTATAGCATGGATCAACTATTGCGTTTGTTATTGGTTGACTTGGCCTTTAAATTTTAAAAATAAATTAATAATTTTTTTTATTCCAATGGTCTTTTTATTCTTATGGTGCTTACAGTGGAGTTACTTCGATATTGTCGTATCCTAAAGTGGGTCTCCATGGATGTGGTCTTGGAGTTTGATAATACTGGCCAATTCTAGTTGGAACTGGTGGACCAGAAGTTTGTTCCATACATGGAGTTGCGGCAACTGTACTCCATGGTTGAAGTTGCTGGCAGAATAGCCAAAGTAGTCATGTTAAAAAAAGCAAAAATTAATTAACGCAAAACTTACAGAGTACATAACAGTATCTTTAGCCATTTTGATGAAGTTATTTTATTTATTTTCAATTTAAGACACCAAATAAAGGTAAAAAATATTATTATCAAAACATTGGATTCAATTTCAATCGATTTGATTGATTAGTGACATTGACGTTAAACATAAAGAATAAATGGCACTCTTTTAATTAATTTTAAATTTAAATAAAATCAAATACGACCTAAGTACGGCTCTGTTCTTAAATCAAGGGGCTTTATAATCCGATTAAAATAGGCAACTCATTTTGAATTATTATTTAAAAAACAAATTTAATTTCTATGATAAAAATGTATTCAAATCAAATTTAAATAAATAAAATAGAATATGTTTAATTATTTATAAATAAAATAAATAATTTAATTTTCTACCAACATAAAAATAGTTAATTTTACTGGAATAATTTTGACATTTAAACATAACCTAATTTTCTTTTTTAAGGTTAAATTCTAATCAAATTTTTTTCTTAAAAAATCATGACCGATACAGAACAAAGCGTTCCAGAGCGTAAGTAAACACAACATTTTAAAATGACGTTATAATAATTAAATATTAATTTAGATTGCCCGGGTACACAAAGTGAAGATGCAGGAAAAGCATCCGCTTGTGCTGGTTGTCCTAACCAAAAGATTTGTGCTTCCGGGGATACAAAAGTGGTTGATCCAGGTATCGAATTGGTCAAAGAGCGTTTGGGTGATGTAAAAAATAAGATTTTAATACTTTCGGGGAAAGGTGGAGTTGGAAAGAGTACAATGACTGCTTTACTTAGCCGAAGTTTGGCTTTAGAAGACGCAGCAAGAAACGTAAGTTGTATCTTACCCTGTTGTATCGGCTTCTTCTTTCTCTTTCAACACCAAAAATCATTTTTTATTTTATAATTATTTTGACTGTGTTAAAGAATGTTAATATTTAAGCAAAATAGACTAACATTACTATTATTCTTGCTTATTGAGTAATTTGACCTATAAAAGATTGTACCTGTTGGTGCTTGGTACCTGGTCATGTCAGATAGCTTGGAATTTTGCACATTGAATAATCAATAATCTTAAAAAAGAATTCAAAAATTCGTTTTAGGTTGCTGTTCTTGATATTGATATTTGTGGGCCCTCTCAACCCAGAGTTTTAGGCGTTTTAGGAGAACAAGTTCATCAATCTGGATCTGGATGGTCTCCAGTGGTTAGTTAAAATTAAAAAATAAATTTAACAAAATAATTAAAATAAATTGTTTTATAGTTTGTAGAAGACAATTTAAGTGTGATGTCTATTGGATTTCTGCTTGGATCAGCTGATGATGCAATCATTTGGAGGGGTCCAAAGAAAAATGGGATGATTAGGCAATTTTTAAGTGAAGTGGATTGGGGCAGTTTAGATTATTTACTTATTGACACACCTCCAGGTATAAACAAAACATAAACAGTAAAAAATGATATTAGCAGAAATAATTAACTTTTTTTAGGAACATCTGATGAACACCTTTCTGCATCAACATATTTAGCAAATGCTGGACTTACTGGTGCTATTATAATTACTACTCCTCAAGAAGTTGCATTGTTAGATGTTCGCAAAGAAATTGATTTTTGTAGGAAAGTTAATATTAATATTTTGGGGGTTATTGAGAATATGTCTGAGTTTATCTGTCCTTGTTGTAATGTAAGTTACTTTGTATAGATTTAAATTTTAAATGAAGTTGTAATTTACTTTCAGGTGAAATCAGAAATATTTCCCCCCAAAACTGGTGGGGCCAGGCAAATGTGTGAAGATTTAAATGTTGTTTTTCTGGGAAGCATTCCTTTAGATCCTAAATTGGCGAGATGTTGTGATGAAGGAAAAGATTTTTTTGCTGAATTACCAGATTCAGCAGCTATTACAAAATTAAAAGAGGTTACTGGAAGTAAGTCCAAGAGTTTTCTGTTTCAATTGTCATTGTCATAGCAAATATCTAACAAAAAAAATTAGGACATAGAGTTTACAAGTTAAGTTTTATTTTGCAATTATATGTTTATTTTTTGTGAATTGTTTATTCAGAAAGTTCTAGAAATGCAATTATGAGAGCCTCTCGCGAAAATTCGTCAATTAGACATTCTGCAAATATGTGAAAACTGCTAGTTCAGACAAAAACAAGTTTTCTTAAAAACGAGTTTGCAAAAAACACGGTAAAACACATTGCGAAATACCTTTATGTATGAGAAAGTGTTTTGAGGATTATCATACCAAAGAAATAATAGAAATAAGACTATATACAGGTGTTGCATATAAACAACAAACTACATAAATGGCATTAAGGAGCCGAGATACACAGTTCTTCCTTAGACAAAAGTTGTAGGAAATTTAGCACACTATAAACGGAAAATATTTTTATACATACAGGTTGTTCCATAACGACGTACTGAAATAAACATATATGTTATTTTTAATGGAATGATATGGTTTTTATTGCGTATTCTGATTCTACACACAAAACTAAGTTGACTTTGATAAGACATGTTGATACCTAGTGCTTTTAGTTTTTGATAATTAAATAATCAAACTGTATCTTTTACTGATTTTTAATTTATTTATTACTTTGTTTTACATGTTTCGATAACAAGTTATTATCTTCAGAGACGCTACAAAGAATTAAATTATAAATTATAACGGTTTTAAACATGTGTGTTAATTAAAGAATATAACCAATTCTGTTTGAAAAACAACTAAAAAATAGTTACTGCATCAAAATTATTGTAAAGAAACATTTTAAAAAGTCAAAGAATTAAAAATCGAGGTCTCTTTTGCGACCTCTGTGTTAGAATTAAATGATGTTTTAAAATTCAAAAAAGCAAATCTAAATTAAACAAATTCTATGTTGATATCAATTGTACAGGTGGTTCAAATTCGATGTCCGAATAGGCTAACTTGGAAACTATACGAGTTAGAAAAAAAGTAGCTTACATGTCATGATCTCGTTTTTCGAGAAACTGCTAATGTCGAAAACCTCAAAGCGCTATCGTCTTTTGTTTATCCTCTAGAGGCCAAAATTGAAAATATCGTAAAGTCAACAAGTGCAATTATCTTGGTTATTATTACAGTAGTTACATTTTTGAACAGCCTGTATAATGGCACTCTATTTAAGGATATCTAAGCAGCAACTGTCACAAATTTTAACTATGGACAATCATAATATATGTGTAACAAAGTTAACAAGAATTTTGGTTATTTTTGTGTTCTTTAATCCTTTGTTTCAATGATCTACCGGTTTCTCCAATATATGTTGCACCGCAGGTGTCACACTCTAATCTATATACACCATTCTGTTCAAGTGTTTGTAATTTATCTTTGCATTAATTAAAATCTTTCCCAAATACGTTGACGACGTGCTAATTATCTGGAATAACAAAGACTTAGACTCAATTCATTCTTTCTATGCCTACATTAATAGTTTGCATAACAATATTAACTTCACAATAGAAATTGAAAAAGATGGCAAATTAAATTTTATTAGAAATATCTTTGCTGAAACACCTACACATAAAGCACAAAGGGCAGATATTTGAACACTTATAAATAAAGTTTGGTTGAAAATGATTTATCGTCTTATTTCATGGCCTACTAAGAGAAAAAATAAATAAAATCTGTCATTCTTTGCATGATTTTGATTCATTCTGCTCTATCTGAACAACTGCAACAGATAGGTATAGGGACATGTACTGAAGATTTGTAGAGAATTAAATACTCTATCTGATAAGCAAATCAAATATGGGGTGTTCCGTTTAAAATTTTCGCCTTTTTTGCAATTGAATATGGTAAAATAGTAATTACATTTTTGAACCACCTGTATAAGATAAACCGATGTAGCCAACGGGGCCCTATTTAAGGAAATTCAAGCAGCAACTGTTACAAATTTTAACTTTCTAGCTCGATCAGTCGCCAAGAAATTCAGATTTGAAGGGTACAGTGCTAATTGCTAAAAAAAGCTTCTAATTAAAATAACTCAAAAATTAAAAGCACTACTTAGGTATCAATATGTCTTATCAAAGTCAACTTAGTTTTGAATGTATAAAAATATTTCCTGTTTATAGTGTGATAAATTTCCTACAACTTTTATCTAAGGAAGAAGGCGCCAGAGATTTGGCAGCTACAGGCAAAAATGGATTTGGCCGCCCTTGCTAAATAAAAATTTTAAAAAAATGTCCTTTCAGAAATGCACTTTGATTTATTTCTATTTATTTATTGAACATGTTGCAAATTGCAAACTAATAAATATAAATCTGTTAAACATTTGTTCAATTTCTCGCCTTTTTGCTTATAAAACGTCGCAATGCATCTTGTATGTGTATAGATCTAGAAATATCATTTTCTATTGATAAAATTGCCAGGCCTGACAACCGATTTTGTGTCATTGTTGACCGAAGACACGTTTTAATTAATTTTAAACGAGAGAAACATCTTTCTCCACTGGCCACACTAACAGGAATTGAAGGGCTCGGTGCAAAAAGCGGTCATCTCCATTTTTTCAAACTTTACAGTGTCACTAAAAAACTGTTTTCTAAGTTATAACATCAAATTAATGCCAGCTCCATTTCTAATGCAACTTCCAGTTTACAACGGTGGAGATAGCCGTTTCTTTACACCAAACGATGCGAACTGCTGAGTAGGGCCAAGTTCAGGCAAAAAAGCAATTCCATCAAAAAGTGGAGCTGACCGGTTTTTGCACCGAGCCCTTCAATTGTTAATAGGATTTTCAAAGCGATATAATTGAAATTGTTTAAAATATATTTCAAAACTTCATAAGGTGTATCACCTGGGTTTAAAAGTTTTGAATTAAAACTCAACTCTCCGCCGAATACCTGAATTTCTTAGGTCGGCAAGATTATGCAAGCTTCCGAATGTATTATTAAATAAGGATAACTGTTGAAAACGCTCCTCTACTGAATGAATCGCTATGTCAAGTAAATTAAAATATACATCAACTTTAAATTTTTGTGACAGATCTTGTATTGGGTTGTCAAAAGTTTCATTATTGAAATCATGGTGTGGGCACCAATATAGGCAAAACAAAACCGTCGTATTTTTAAGGAGAACAATTTGCTAGATGTTGCTGAAGTCTTGAAAACTCCCTAGATTTACAAAGTACCGCGGGCTCCAATGTCGTAGCCTTGCCCTCTACAGTTGTAAATGTCTAAAGCTAGTACTTTTATTGTGTCTAAAAATAGAGATGCCAGACCGACTCCTGTAGTGTCAGTNATATGGTTTTTATTGCGTATTCTGATTCTACACACAAAACTAAGTTGACTTTGATAAGACATGTTGATACCTAGTGCTTTTAGTTTTTGATAATTAAAAATTAAATAATCAAACTGTACCTTTTACTGATTTTAAATTTATTTATTACTTTGTCTTACATATTTCGATAACAAGTTATCATCTTCAGAGACGCTACAAAGAATTAAATTATAAATTATAACGGTTTTTAACATGTGTGTTAATTAAAGAATATAACCAATTCTATTTGAAAAACAACAAAAAAATACTTACTGCGTCAAAATTACTGTAAAGAAACATTTTAAAAAGTCAAACAATTAAAAATCGAGTTGTAAAATTGAACTTTTCCGAAAAATTTTTGTAGTTTTAACATGTACACTGTCATTTATTAAATTAAAACGTAACATGAACTTGTTCTTAAGCGATAACGAAAAGAAAGAAATAGAAAACTTACAGGTTGTATCTCCTTTGCGACCTCTGTGTTAGAATGATGTTTTAAAATTCAAAAAAGCAAATCTAAATTAAACAAATTCTATGTTGATATCAATTGTACAGGGTGGTTCAAATTCGATGTCCGAATAGGCCAACTCGGAAACTATATGAGTTAGAAAAAAAATAGCTTACATGTCATGATCTCGTTTTTCGAGAAACTGCTAATGCCGAAAACCTCAAAGCGCTATCGTCTTTTGTTTATCCTCTAGCTCTAGAGACCAAAATTGAAAATATCGTAAAGTCAACAAGTGCAATTATCTTGGTTATTATTATAGGTGGAGTATTATAACTAAGACATTATATGGACACCTTTTTACAGAGAATTTCATGACGTAGTCAAAAAAGAATTTTCGGTTTTAGATTTTGAGATATCATGACAATTTTCGTTTTTTTTTAATGGAAACAACCACTGATTATTCGCTTATTTAATTAGTTATGTTTTTCTGATTACAAAAATATAGGGCTTGACAGGTCTATTTCTTATTGTTTTAGAATAAAGCTAAAAATAAACTTTTTTTTTGGTGTCCTCCTATTCGGACATCGAATTTATACCACCCTGTATGGATGGGCCAAATTGGGCACTGTTAAAGGGAAACTCCTATTTCTATAAGAGATACAGGAAAAATGATATCAGTGTTTAAGGCTCGATTTTTATAAGAAACTTAATGGCGAAAACCGCATATCGATATCTCTTACGGTTTCAGAGATACAGGCTGTTTTTGAAAAAAGTGTGTTTTCGAAAACGCAAAAGATGCAAAAGTTAAATTACAAACGGTTGGGCAGAATGGTGTATATAGATTAGAGTGTGACACCTGCGGTGCAACATATATTGGAAAGATCGTTGAAACAGAGGATTAAAGAACACAAAAATAACCAAAATTCCAACTTTGGTAGACCTATGATTGTCCATAGTTAAAATTTGTGACAGTTGCTGCTTAGATATCCTTAAATAGAGTGCCATTGGCTACACCGGTCTATCTTATACAGGCTGTTCAAAAATGTCACTACTGTTTTACCATATTCAATTGCAAAAAAGTCGAAACATTTAAATAGAACATCCCATATTTGACTAGATAATCAGATACAGAATTTAATTCTCTACAAATCTTCAGTAAATGTTCCTCCAGTTGTAGTTTTTGAGATATTGTGGAATTAATCAATATCATGCAAAGTATGGCAGATCTTGTTCATTTTTTCATTAGTATGCCATGAAATAAGACGATAAATATAATTTTCAACCAAACTTTATTTAAGTGTTCAAATATCTGCCCTTTGTGCTTTATGCATAGATGAAGCCGATTTACGAATTCGGCTTACACATTATCTAGTGTTTTAGCAGAGGTATTTCTAAAGCTTTCCATTATTCTATTCATTTTGTATGTATACAAATATTTTCTGTTTATAATGTGATAAATTTCCTACAACTTTTGTCTAAGGAAGAACTGCGTATTTTGGCTCCTTAATGCCATTCAGGGACGGCGCCAGAGATTTGGCAACTACAGCCGGAAATGGATTTGGCCGCCCTTGCTAAATAAAATTTAAAAAAAAAGTGTCCTTTCAGAAATGCACTTTGATTTATTTCTATTTATTTATTAAACAAGTTGCAAATTGCAAACTAACAAATATAAATTTGTTAAAATTCTCGCCTTTTTGGTTGTAAAATGTCGCAATGCATCTTGTATGTCTATAGATTTAGCAATATCATTTTCTATTGATAAAATTGCCAGGCCTGATAACCGATTTTGTGTCATTGTTGACTGAAGACACGTTTTAATTAATTTTAAACGAGAGAAACATCTTTCTCCACTGGCCACACTAACAGGAATTGTTAATAGGATTTTCAAAGCGATATAATTAAAGATTTGGATATATAACAATTAAGTTATTGTTTAAAATATATTTCAAAACCTCATAAGGTGTATCACCTGGGTTTAAAGTTTAAAGTTTTGAAATAAAACTCAACTCTCCACTAGCTGAATGCCGTCGATGTCTTTTTATTGTTATGTGTAAGAGTAATCCCCAAATTTATACTTTGTTTTATGACGTCCTCTTTTTCCCAATTTCTTAGGTCGGCAAGATGTCAAGTAAATTAAAATATACATCAACTTTAAATTTTTGTGACAGATCTTGTATTGGATGGTCAAAAGTTTCATTATTGAAATTGCGTTTTCGACGTCCTAATCTGATTTCTGTAAAGTTTGGTTGTACATTTACTGAATTTGCCAGTTCATATAACTAACAATTTTTGATACTCTTCGTTACTTCTTATTTTGTTTAGATTATTTGCAACCTGTTCAATTATTTCAACTGCTGCATAAACCGTGCACTTTGGGCTTTGTAGTAGAAGATTTACTCTGTTAACATCTAAAAGTACATTATATCAAATTATTGTAATGCATATGAACTGATAATTTAACTTCTCTAATACAATATCAAAAAGTGACGGTACAAAAATCTAACGAGCCTGATCGCATTTATCCTATTTTTCGATCTCGTAGAACATACAGGTTGTAATGTTAAATTGGATTAAAGTGGATGCAGAAGAAAAATTAAACAAGCTTTGTATTATTCCAAAAAAATTGACCATTTCTATATTTGATTCTGCAGCATCATTTAAAACAAGATTAACACGTTGACTGCCGCGATAGTCACTGAAAGTCTATCCATTCTGGCCGGAACAATTTAAAATTAAATAGGCATGAGAATCAACTGGTACTTCTCGTGGCTGTTATGGAAATTTTGCCGTACATCAAGTTACGCTTCTCATGGCAGTCAATGTGTTAATAGAGTGACAGGAGCAAGGAACAAATAACTCTCTCGCATTTATATCTAAAATATGTTTTTGTAGTCTGTTATTTTTACCTTTCATATTGGCTCCATTGTCGTAGCCTTGCCCTCTACAGTTGTAAATGTCTAAAGCTAGTACTTTTATTGTGTCTAAAAATAGAGATGCCAGACCGACTCCTGTAGTGTCAGTTACTTCAATAAATTCAATTGAAAGCACATTTTCTTCCACCAAATACGTATTTTTTGATTCGGTGTTAACAAATCGAATTATTAATGTAAGTTGTTCTTTGTTTCCATGATTACAGAAAAAAATTTGGCTTTTGCCATTTCTATAATTTTCTTTTTAGTCATTTCTGCCAATAAACCTAGTAATTCATTTTGTATATCTTTACTAAGATAATGAACCTGTGTCTTTAGACGAAAAAACACTCCGTTATTTTTTTCAAAGAGTACATCAGATTTTCCTCTAAATGGCAAATTTAATTTAGTTAGTGTAAGAATAACTTCTGATAGTCGTGATTATAATATAGTATCAGTATCAGCTTACGTGGGACACCTGTATATAACATTATATATTAACATATATAACATTGTCTTTGGCATGCTTTCCACAAGTCCTTGTATGGCTTGCTAGTATTTTCTACATCACATTGATACCGGACATATAACAAATCATATAATCTCCCTGGAGTAGTTGCGAATCGAAGTCACATATCGTTAGTCACATTTTTATTCATTTCTTCCAAATTTTCAAGTTAATACTTCCAACTTAACATTTACCTATTGCAAGAAATGCAGAGTGTCCCAATCTTTATAACAATCCAGGGAAGTTTAAAAATGTTACTGATTTGCTAACTTATTCAATTCATTCTTAGTCAATTTAGTTCACTTACACCATATTTAGTAAAGTATGCATTTAACTGATATTTAATTGATGGTCTCACTAAAATACTAGTATTTTTTTTTGGTAATTTTACCCTTAATGTTTAAGGTGAACATTAATGTATAATTGTGTATTAATTCAATTGTATTTAATAATAATGCGTGTTTATCAAAGTTTAATTAATTTTGTTTTTTTTTTGTTTCAGAAATTGTGCAAATTTGTGATGGATCAAATTAAAAATTAGAATTTATAAGGAATTTTATTTTGTTATAAATTGAAAATGAAATAAAATAAATATTATATAGCACAACTTTATTTACTGTGTAATATGTACAAAAAGAAACTAATTAATACATACATAATAGACCATATAAAAACCTTTTGCCAAAATCGTTACGTTCTAAAATTTTTACTCACTTTATGCACAATACGTTATTTTTTTACTAAAATTACTATTCAAATTCAGTCGTCTGGAGACAATAAGATGACTCGACTAATAATAATGCAAAACAAAAAGATAATCATAATAATAAAAAACACTGGTATAGAAATGTGCTGTATACATGTATGGATTATTAAGTATTTGTCCAGTATTTTTTTTTAATATTTAATAGTAGTCAAAAGTATAAAATACAAAGCTATACACAATATTCAATCTATATATACGCAAATATAAAGTTAATGTAATATAATAATAGGTTGTTTGCCTAAAACTAGGACCTACACAATGATAATGATAATAAAAAAATCACACATGACATCATAAGTTTACACACAAGTGGAATACTTTGCGAATACTATTTCTTTTGTATTCATTTTTTTACGGCTTTGAGAGATCAATCAGTGAAAAAGGCTACAAGATACACACATACATAATAACTATTGGTCCAAGGTCGTGGCGACTATTTACACACAAAAAATGGGTTTTTCATCAATTATTATAGAAAATACTGCGCGTTTTTGGCTTTATAAAAGCGATTAGAAATTTTTATTTATTAAAAATAGCATTCTTTTTTTAAGTGTATTTTCTATCTTCCCTCTTCTGAGACGATGACTCATTTTTTTTTTTTTAATAAAAATTCTTATTAATTTTTAAATGTTATTTTTTTTATTCCCTAAGGCAATTAGTACTAATTAAGATTAATAAATTCATCTATTCCTTGTTATTGTACAGTCTTCTCTTTCAAGTTTTTTTTTTGTTCGAAATTTATCTTCAGAAGAGAGCCTTTTTTATTTTTAATCAATTAAGTTTAAAAAATTTATAAGTAGTAATAATAAAAAATTGGAATTGTTCGTAACAAGTTGTGTACAATAAAATAAAACCTCTAGTTTTTTATTTATAATGTATCTGAATCTTTAAAATTTGTAAAAATAGGTTTTAAATTTGATCTTTTATTAGATTTAACTAATCGGTAAGTTAATTATTATAATAATTAATTCTTTAATATCTGAATAGTGTTGTTTTCATCGAGTTAGTTCTGTATCGCGGAGTTAAATCTTCTTGTGTTTTTTGGAACACTTATTAGGTTTGGTAAATAGCCAAGTTTTAACAATATAATTTAAAATTAAATAATTATAAATAGTTTATATAAAAATTTTAAAATTATAAGAAAATCACAATTACTGCAAGATAGTCAACATTCTAATTCGAATCGATTGCGTTATTTAAACATAATTAATAAAGTCTTAGTAAAAATGTTTGTTCATTTTTTGCCAGATTTATTTATAATTTTTGTTCGTAGTGATAAATAGTGTTAAATCATTAAATAGAAACAACAAATGGCTTCTTTTGTTCACCCATTAACCCTTTCGGCCCTGCCAGTGGCATTTACTATCAAAATATTTTAGGCTTTACTTGAAATGTATTGAATTACCAAGAGCGTACCAAGAAAATGTACAGACGAGTCAAAATACAAAATTTTTGGATGTGATGGTAGAGGTAAAATTTGGGGGAAAGCCGGTGCAGTGCTAGATTTAAAAAATCTTCCACCAACAGTTAAGCATGTGGGTGGATCTGTTATGGTGTGGGGATCTATGGCTGCTTCAGGAGTTGGGAGTTTAGTTTTTATCGATATCATGGACAAATGGCAATATTTAAATATTTTAAAGGCCAATTTAAAGCAAAATGCTATACAATTGGGCCTTGGAAACAATTGGATCTTCCAACAGGATCAAGACCCAAAACATACAGCACATGTAGTTCGCGAATGGTTTTTATATAATGTGCCTAAACAGCTACATTCTCCATCACAGTCACCAGATATTAACCCCATAGAACACGTGTGGGATTGTTTAGAAAAAGCAATTAGAAAACACAACATTGGTAGTAAGGAATCGTTAAAAGTTGCATTGCAAGGAAAATGGGGAAAAATTCCGATTTCTTATACTGAAAAGCTTGTGCAATCAATGCTGAGCAGATTGAAAGCTGTACTAAAAGCGAATGGAAAACCTGCGAAGAACTAATCTACGCAGATTTCATCGTTCTTTGCAACATTTGGAACTTGACAATTGAGGTTGCAGTGGAACTATTTAGAAGAATTATTCATTTATTTTGCTATTTTCTTGCGGTTAAGAGTTTTTTACTTATAAATCTGTTTAAATGAATAATTAATTATCATCAATAATAATTAATGATAATTATGCAAAAACTGCTGGTGTACGATGACTTTTGGGACTTCCTGTTTGTTTACAAACCTTGATGACTCGTTTTCGAAACAGGTCAGGTCAAACCTTCCTTTCGAGTACAACCCGATATTAATTAATAAACTGAACGAAGCCATATTTTAGAAAATAAGAAGAACGCCACACGTAATGGGGATTAAAAGGACAAACAAACCCGGTTTCTCCTTTTAATTTTCATCTGAAGGTATGGTGGATGTTCGCTTTTTATAATTTTTTTCTGACCCGGTCTGGTGAAAAGAAAACTTTTCAAAAAAGTTTGTGAACGCAATTGCCACCACAAAGTGTATGCGCAAAATTTGATAATAAACATATTTAGTTTTTTTTTTTACTTTCTTAGGTGAGAATGTCCTTTTATGCAAATATAAAGACTTTGACAAAAAAAGCAACCTCACAAGATATAAATGCTACAATATCTGCGTTACCAGATTCGGATGTAGAAAATGAAACTGAAAATGTTAAAGAAACCGACATTGAGGAAAAAATGACTTAGAAGCGAAATCAATTTGTGTCACCGAACATTGTATTTACTTCAACTGAGTATAATGATTAAAATATGTTTGAACGTCTGACTTCTGTGATGTGTTTTGCGAAATATTTTTTTAACATGGCAAAAAAAAACAAACATGTATTTAATTCATAAAAGCGGAAAAAATATCAAAACAAATAATTCAAGAGAGTAACTCGTTTTTCCAGATTGAGGATATACTGCCACTAGAATACAATTTGTAGATGATGTTCGATTACCACATAATCGATTTGAATTCGTACGGAGTATCTAAAAGGAAAGCCAAATCCGTGGGGAGTAAAAGTGTTCATGTTTTATGGTGCTTCTGCTATCACATATCCTTCGATTGTATATTCAGCTACCAATTGGCTGGTAATTCATCTAACAAGTAGAAATCTAGAGCATGAAGGACACATCATTTTGTGATTATTATGTTACATCACTATTATTACTGCAAAAACTATTAGAAAAAGGTGTTTTCGTAGCAGGAACCATTCTCTTCAAAACACTTAAAAAATGCCCCTAAAGTCTAAAAATATGCTAAAGAAAAGTAGACGTAGTAATAACGATTCATTTGTTACAGACGATGAGAAAATGATAGTACAGTACACTTGTGATGGTGCGAACATTCGGTAATGGGAACTTTCAGTGGTGTGAACACGAAATAATTTACATTGAACACTGTATAGTGTTCGGATTGCCGAGATACAGGAGGTGTCTGAAAATCGTAAATTTTGAAACACTCCCTGTATATGAAAAACGAAGAGGGCTATGAAAATTTGGTTTGCGCTATTGGAAGTTTTGCAAAAAAAGTAGCTCAGGTTCGCGAAAGCCGAATAACTGAGATACCCTGCAAACCCATCGAAATTTGGACACTCTGTACAACCGACATTTGTTGGAAGTGAAAGACTTTTTTTCCGTTGCGAATAACTTTTGAACAAAATTAAGGTCAAAAATGAAATTTGACGTAATAGACGCGTTAGTTTTCTTAAAATATTATTTTATAAAAACATCAAGTTTATAAATTATAATTTAATTGTTTTTTTTGAAAAATATGCCTTAACTTTTGTATATTTTATATCTTCAATACACATAATATCTGCTTGTATAGTTTTAATATGATAATTACTTTAACATCCTTCTATAAACACTTTTTTGTACTTTATGCAAGTTGTTTGGTTAAGCCGTTAACCGGTTAGCCATTATTAATTAACCGAAAAACCGGTTTTTGAAATATTCCGGTTTTTTGCGAACCCTACGCCCTAAGCTTGGGACATGTGATGGGCGCTCTCATAGGTTCAATGCGAAAAGGGCCAAGTAAAAATAAAATTAATATGTTTATGTATACAAAAAAATTATTGTTTTAATTGAATAAATGTAAGTTTTCATTATTTGTAATTTTTTATCAGTAATAACCAACTGGTGGTATTTGTCACAACTGATTAATTCATATACATATGAAGCAAAACCAGTTCAAATTTGATTTTGGAGTTCTTGAAAATCAATAAAATAATGAATTAATAAAAAAAGATATTTTGAAATTTAAAAATCCAGGGCTGAAAAGGTTAAGTGGACAATAGTATTAAACTTGTTACATCATGCTACTACATTATATGTTAATTTCAAGAACATATCCCTGATTTTAGTGCAATTTGATCATAAAAATCTAATATATAAAAAACTACAAAATTTATAAAGTTGGGCATTGTAAAATTTGACACTTTGTTCATAACATTATCATTATTTCACGTTTTATAATGAGTATCAATATAAATCTGGCCAGAAGCAAATTAATGACCCCGCTCTAATCTCTGTAACTAGAGGTTCTATTTTATTGAACATATTTATGCTCAAAATTTGGCAGTATTCTTGCATTAGGAATATTATTTAAAACCTTTTCCATTTCAATATTTACCATATCTTTTTTTTTAGTCAAGAACTTCTCGATAAGGAATCTCTGAAGTAACACTAAATCCTTCAAAGTAATGGGTAAGGAACTCGAACGTTGGTCTATTTTCAGGATTACCGTCCCAACAATTCAACATTATCCTATAAATGTCGTCAGGTACATAATGATTAGTTGGTTTCGGCATACGATAACCTCTTTGGACCTGATCCATAACCTCCCTTCCGTTCATACCTGGATATGGGATTTGTCCATACGTAAATAATTCCATTAATAAAATTCCGTACGACCAAACGTCCGATTTAATTGAAAATTTGCCGAACATGATTGCTTCCGGTGCAGTCCATTTAACGGGAAATCTAGATCCTTGTTTTGGACAATATTCATTGTCTTCGATAACACGAGCTAAACCAAAATCGCAGATTTTTGCTACGTTATTTTCACCGATTAATACGTTTCTAGCGGCAAGATCACGATGGATAAGTTGTCGAGATTCTAAGTATTCCATTCCAGAAGCTACTTGAAAAGCGATATCTACCAATTCTTCAAATTCTAATTTTTTCGTTTCTTTTCGTAGAAAATCTAATAAACTTCCTTTAGACATGTATTCTTGAACAATATAAATTGGTTCTTCTTTACTACAAACCGCGTATAAAGCCACCAATCTTTTATGTCGAAACTTTTTCATAATTGCCGCTTCTTCTAAAAACGCTTGCGTTGACATTGAACCTTCACGTAAGGTTTTTACAGCAACTTCAATCGTATTCTTCCATTTACCATAATAAACTTCTCCAAAATTACCTCTTCCTAAACGACGTATTAATTGAATTTCATCACGAGGAATTTCCCAACTGTCTACATAAGATGGACCAAAATCCCAAATTTGTGGTTGCGGTTTCGGACAAGCGCTAGATAAAACGTGGCATAAACCATAAGCGTTACGAGAATACGCATCAACTAAGTCGCTTAGAGTGCGGAAGGTTTTGTTTGTTGAAATGTAATAACCACCATTATCTAACGATTTTATTTTGTAATGTTTTACATGATACCCACGATGTTCTTCCCAATCTTTGACGGATAAAGAGTAACCGTCGGGATTGTGCTCTGAGGGACGTACTAAAAATGTTCCTCTTGAATTGTTGTTACCAAGCAATAATTTTTCAGCTTCCTTTCTAGAGACGTTTTCAAAAAACCAGCTGTGGACAAAAATTTTTGTGTCATTGAATCATGTGATTAACATATTCTATATTTTATTATAATGGTTGAAATCAATTCTTAAGGAATTATGACGTAACAACATATTTATAACATTCTTCGTTTTGATGTTGTTTGAGTTTATTTAAGCTTAGTTATTTATTATGTATTTTAAAAAGATAATTCAATTTTCTACTATAATGTTATTGTTTTAATAATTGCGTCAAGTTCAGATACTTTTTAATTTGATTAATACAGCTTAATATACTATGCACTAACTTAATAGAGCAAAGTCTAAAATAATAAAAAAAGGTTGGCAGCAACGTGCTGCCATCGCTTCTTGTTGGAAATGATAAATCATAACATAGATTTAGAGCTAGTATAATCAAAAGTTAAGTATCGACTTTCAAGTAGTTTCAAGTTTATGACCTCATTGAAGATAAAGAGGTAAGCACAAAAGAGGATTTCTACCAACAACTAGAAAGAACATACGAATTAACCTTGCGAACGATAATAAGCTTAACCTTTTTCCCGCATAGAAACATACACAAGGCAAATGAATATCACCACACTCAGTCATCAAGAACCAAATAGACCACGTACTTATAGATAAAAGAGATCATACATAATGCATATGAATCAAGCTGTCCAATAAAACACAAGAAAGCACAATTCAATATGCCTTGGTGGAATAAGGACCTTGAACAACAGCGAGTCATAGTTAGAAGATTATGTAATAAAGTCAAGCATTCCAAACTCGACCAAACATGGGACCTCTACAGGAAAGCCCTAACGGAGTATAACTTGGCTATCCGTAAAATCAAGGCCACCTATGCAAACAAGACGGAAAAAAACACTGAGGATGCTAAGGAATCGCTGGAGCTCTTACTGAGCACGCACTTCGCTTCCTCAAAAGTCTGCCCCCTATGTGGATGCCGACCCTGAAGTAATGGATATAACCCGTCCATCCGGTAGGGTTCGCAGCATAGCTGGGAATATCTTTACACCCAACAGAGTAAGGTTTACTATTTATAATTTTAAGCCGCTAAAATCGCCTGGAGGGAATGGAATTCTGCCTATTATTCTGAAAAAGGCATAGAAGACCTGCTCCCAGTAATAATTACCTATATACAGGGTATCCCGTTAAGCGTACGGAGCGGCTGTATCTCGACAACCGTAAGGCCTAGAGGTTTGGGAAAAAAATCTTTATAAGCAAAGTGACCAAGAGAAATAGCTTGGAAATTATTTTGAAGTTCGTAATTCGACCGCTAGGGGGCGTAACTGCCATTGAGAAACATAAAATTGCCGCTATCTCAGAAACTTAGACGATGAGCTATAACTTTGACAACATCATTTAATAGCTTGGATAATACCGCTCCACTTTTGTTTTGCGATATTTCTCATATCTGTCATAATAAGGGAGGGGGAGGCCAATGCGTTTTCATATGTTTACATTTTAATATCTCCTGGACCATTCAATCGATTTAAATATTTTTGGTGTTGTTTGAAAGAGCATTTTATGCTTTTTTTAAACATATTTTCAATAAGACCGTTTGCTTTAAAACAAATAAGATAGAGGGCGTTATCTGCAGCGATTACATATTTTTGTGATTTTTGAAGAAAAGTTAAATGAAACGATACTATTTACTTCACAGATTCTTAGTCACCTTAAAATTTGCAAAATTTTAGTGAAAACCGCATCTCGATATCGCCACCCGTTCTCGAATTATAGAAGAAAATGTTAAAAACTCGAGTGCCATCAATCAGATCCAGTTACCTCATCAAGAAAAACAAATCACATAACCATGGTAACTGTAAACATGTCATTTACCAACGCAGAAGCGTATGATGATTTATTTGCAATGTTTCGAATACGATGTAACTGGCAAAAATGTGCAATGCAATTACGACAAAGAAAGACATTTTTCTCTAGAAGTGTTTTTAAGATTGATTTAGCGATTACGGAAAACTGGCAACGTGTAGCCCATTCAGACATCTCTATGAATTCGTAAATCACATTGGTGCGCAATGCATGGAGTTCACACATAATCTGGGAACTCCGAAAACAATTGTCCACAAGATTCCTCAAGAGAATAATATCTCCACCACGTTGTTTTACATCAGGCCTTAACAGATACCGATTATGATAACAGACTGAACTATTACCATTGACTTTTAAATATGATTTGGGCAAATCCAAACCTTTTATCACAAATGCTATGGATGCATGAAGCATCTGTCCACAAGCTGATGTAAACTTGCATAATATGCATTCTTGGTTCGAGCAAAACCCACATTGCTTTCACCCCTTTATCTATTGGGTAGACTAAACGACCTGACTTTTCAAGAAAAACCAATAACCAGGGAAAATATGACAAAACACTAAATACCAGTAGAAACGTGTCCAGGGCCGAGACTTAAGCAGCGCTTTTTTTTCGTCGAAACTAGATTAAATAAATGCATCGAGGTTTATGGAAGGCATTTCGCACATTAGTGAGTTATTTTTGCCAAAAATTTAAGTTATTCTAAGTGTTTTGGTTTATTTTGTTTTATTATCATTGTTGATGTTTCATTGATCCGTTGGCTTTTCAACACGCCTCAAAAGTAGTTTTGAAGCAGTTCTAAGCTTGGATAAAGTGTGAAGGAAGGTTCTAGATAATAAAATTTTTGTTCTCTCTTATTTGTTTCCTAAGGTAACTTGATCCGATTAAGATATACGAATTTTTAACATTTTCTTTTATAATTCGAGAATGGATGGAGATATCGAGATGCGGTTTTCACTAATATTTAGCAAATTTTATGGTGATTAACGGTCTGTGAAGTAAATAGTACCGTTCCATTTAACTTTTTTTCAAAAATCACAAAAATATGTAACCGCTGCAGATAACGCCCTCTAGCTTATTTGTTTTAAACCAAGTGGTCTTACTGAAAATATCTTTAAAAAGAGCATAAAATGCTCTTTCAAACAAGACCAAAAATATTCAAATCGGTTGAACGGTCCAGGAGATATTAAAATGTAAACATTTGAAAACGCATTGGTCTCCCCCTCCCTTATTATGACAGATATGAGAAATATCGCAAAACAAAAGCGATGCGGTATTATCCAAACTACTAAATGATGTTGTCAAAGTTATAGCTCATCGTCTAACTTTCTGAGATAGCGAGAATTTTATGTTTCTTTGTGGCAGTTACGCCCCTAGGGGTCGATTTTTTCCCAAACCTCTAGGCCTTACCGTTGTCGAGATACAGCCGCTCCGTACGCTTAACGGGACACCCTGTACAGGTGAGTTTTTACTTAGCGGAGATAGAAAGACGATTAAATAGGGAAACAATTTCAGTTTCATGAACTCAATTTAATGAGCTTTTTGTTTATTGGATAAAATGCATGGCTAACTAGATATCTGAAGAACAGTTTTCCAATTAAAAGAATAAATGGCTATAATTTATTTATTAATAAAAATATCTATGTCAAGTGTTATATCATCAGAATCGTTGAGAAAAGGCCTTTTTTATAAAGTCATGGCCAACTATGGTTTCCATTAGAAAAATTACAAGTTTGTGTCATAACTCAAAAATTATTGCTTAAATAAAAAAATCAGTTAGACTGCTTTATTAGACCTGTAATACCCTAAAAATGTTTTCTTTACACATTTTTCCTAAAATCAATAATAGCGGAGCCATAGGTATCTAACGATATAACAAGAAAACGGTTTTTTCGAGATATCTAGTTAGCCATGCATTTTATTCAAAAAACAAAAAGCTCATTAAATTGAGGTCATGAAACTGGAATTCTGTCCCTATTTAATCGTCTCCACTAGTTTTCAAGATCTCTATACTTAACATGGAAAAAAACTCACCCTGTATATAGGGAGCTACAGCTTTAGCTATATACGTACACTATGGAGGAAAATAAAGATGGTCCTCATACCTAAAGGTGGTAGGCGTTCAAACGCCGATCCCAAGGCATACAGACCAATTAGCCTAACTTCATTTCTCCTCAAAGGGATGGAAAAGATAATTAATCCATACCTTAGGAATGGAGTGCTTGCCACTAATCCACTCCATCCGAGTCAACATGCTTACCAGAAAGCAAAATCAACAATTACTACTCTCCATGCTTTGCTCTCCAGTGCTATGACTAGCACTGTAGAGGAGACAATTGCAACCAAAGAGATAGCCCTATGTGCTTTCATAGCATAGAGGGTGCTTTTGATAACACTTCCTACGAATCCATAGAGAATGTTCTAAACGTAAAAGATATACATCCGTCGATAATCAAATTGTGCTTAGCCATGTTGAAAAGTCGGCAGATCACAGCCAGTCCGCGAGGCGAGTCGTTGACTATTAAGCCACTAAGAGGATGTCCCCAAGGGGGAGTACTCTCACCTCTCCTATGGTGGCTGGTAGTTGATGACTCGATGAACACCTTAACAAAAAATGGATTCATGATTCAGGGTTATGCTGATGACCTGGTAATCACAATCCGAGGTAAATATGACACAATCTTAACTCAACTAATGCAGAAAGCACCAGATCTGTCGCAGGTTCCTCGGAAAAAACTGGGGTCTCAAACCACGAACGTACTAGGCTCATTGAGCCTACGTAGCAAGTCTTAATATAACGGGTGTAATGAGATCTTGTCCGACGGCTGCTCTTGAAGCCCTACTAGGTCTCACACCACTCCATTTATATACAGGGTGTATCTGAAGGACTGCAACAAACTTCAAGGGGTGATTCTTTTGTGAATTTTAAGGGTACTTTAATATATGAACCATGGGCGACTTCGGCTCCTCTAAGGAGCTACACCCCTCCAAAAATGGCAGAAAATTTTGGTTTAAATTTTTTTTCTCAAAAACCATAAAATGCCAGAAAATGAAATTTGCACGGATATTAATGTTCTCAATCGATTTGATAACTTTGGCAAAACTAGAGAAAAGGCAACGCGAATATCACGACTCCATCTAGATGATGATGTCATCATCAATCACCGGAAGCCCTGCGTCGCATGGACCTCGACGAACCATCTGCGAAAATCATCAATAACCTTTAAAATGCAATGAAGAGTATGCACCCGTACCAAATTAAGGCACAATAGGAAAAACACAGATCCCCAAGATGACAACGAGGAGAGACAAATCGTCACAAAAAGCGGATATAGTGAAAATCGTCGAGAACTTTTACCGGAAATTATATAGCTCAGTGGTTCCAAAGCCGGACAATATAGTAAACGATAAGAGACAGAACATGTGGCCTCAGAGGAGATACCAGAGATTAAGAGTGATAAACTGGGAGCTGTTTTAAAGAGGATGAAGAACAAAAAAAGAAACTACCTTTCGAGAAGAAGCGTATCAATATCGACGGCTTCTACCTAAATCACCTGAGATTCACAGACGACATCGTACTGATAAGCATCGATCCAGAGGATTGAAGGATATACTGGACTAGGATGGGTCTAAGGATGAACCTTCAAAAGACAAATTTCTTGAGTTCAGACGCTCCTCAATTTTCGATCGCAAATAATATAATAGAAGTTGTAGACACTACGTCTACCTTGGTTACGATATCAAGCTAGGACTAGACCACCGAAATAACAAGAAGTAGGTTGGAGGAAGTCAGAGAGCCAAAGCTACGAAGAGAACAAGTAGGTTTTCGCCCCAACAAGTCGTATGTTGATCACATGAATACACTCCGAATCATAATCGGAAAATCACAGTAATGAAGATCCTTGCAATCACTGAACCATACTGCAGTATGGATAATTTTGAAAAAGATAGGAACCTCGTGAAGATCAACAACATTATAATGTCACTGTATCATGACGCAAAAAGCAAGGTACTGCATAGGAGTAAGTTTAGTACCAAAAACAGGAGTAAAGCATAGAACAAAGAAAACATCAGCAATGCGCATCAACACAGACAACGCACAACCACTTACAATATACAGCGAGAACATAAAGACTGTCGCAGAGTTCTGCTACCTGGGCAGTATGGTAAAAAAAGACGGAAGAACAGAGGTGAGAGTGGCGGAAAGAATAAAGAAAGCCAAGAAATGTTTAAGAACATATGGAACTCCTTCCAACTAACCAGGAAAACCAAGTTTAGCATATTAAACACCAACATAAAATCTATCTTATGACCCAAAATAAGATACAAGTATTCATAAACCAATGGTTTACAAAGATATTACGAATAAAATGGTTTGATTTTGTACCAAATGAAGATATCATGCGACAGGCGAAGCAGTCAAACTAGTACTTGGATTTAGCCACTTTGTGTCTCGAAATTAACTGGTAGAAATTCTTTAATAAACCACATAGAGGTATATCATTAAAGCTAACGGTATAAAACTCATTCCAAAATAATGACTAATGAAATGGCACTTAATTAATAATAATATGCTCAATACTGAAGTGCAAATTGAAAGAAAGAGATTTTTTTGGAGACTTTTTTTTAGATCTTTAATTATTGAATCACTTCGATTGTTTTGTGATCATAATTTATAATAAAAAAAAAACTTTAAATACGTGTTTTTGTTTACGACAAAACACTTTATGAGAAACACTATTATTTTTTACAGGTACATTTAAATATAATCTGATACTTTTAATTATTTCAACAGAATGAAATTTTAATTGTTTCAAAAAACAATTTTACTTACTCTTCACTTTGTATAGTTTCTTCATCGGCAACAAAATTACCAGGAATTAAACCTTCCCTTCTTGTATCAATGTGTCTAACGGTAAACCAATCGCCTTCTGTGGCATTTAAAATTTCCATACGATCGCCTTTTCGAAATGAAACATCCGTGGCATCTCTGGCTGTATAATTGTACAATGCAACCACAATTCTTCTGGGGCCGGGGCCGGGGACGTCGTGTTGATACGGTCTCGGACGGATAAAATCCGGTCTCCGAGCGGATAAATCAGGAATATATCGAGGTACATCACCTATAAATATAAGTTATTACACTGTCTTTGTAACATATTAGAGATAAAATCAACTCACCATTACTTGACGGATCTGATTTAGGTGGGAAGGATTTGTTTGAACGCTTCAAGTCATTACAACACGTTATGTTGCCCATTGTGATCGTTTGGCTTTCGAATTATTTGTGATGTTTTAAATATGGTAACATCTATAAAAAACGAGTAGTTTAAGTTCTAGAAATACGATTTTGGTGATGTTTTTTAGGTTAATGCTACTGTTCAACAAGAAAATAGTAGTATATGTTAGTCACTGATTTGTAATAGTGTATCTTATCTTAAGTGTATATAAAGTAGAACTTATAAAAATAAATGACATCAGTACATGGTACACAACAAGGTATTTTAAAATTACTTTAAAACATTTCGATAAACAGACGCAAAATAATCGATGTTGCTGGAAATTAAGATGGAAATAAAATGAAGTGGAATGATGAATGTGATGCAAATCCTTATTAATTCATAAATATTTGTAAATGAAGGATAATGTTTAGCCCCATTCTTAATATGATACGCGGCCTTAATGAACAAGAAAAATATGTGGATAATTTAAACGCTTAACCCATTTTGTACTAATTTTATAATTGTTTTTTTTTACAATAATATTGAATAGCTAAATGAAATGAAAACCACAATAATTAATTGGTTTATCCAAAGCTACTACACTGGTGCATATGTGTCTATATCAATAATACTGTCCATCCCACAACCTAGATCGAATGTCAGGAAAGTGAATTGACAGGATTTTTCTGAGGAGTTTGACAAGATAATAAGATAGATACCGTCTATAAGCGAAGAGTACAATAGGTCCGTGAAAGCAGTTATGATAACAGCCAAGAAGAAAATTCCTAGAGGATACCGGAAAGAAGACATTCCCGGATGGAATAATGAATGTGTACAGCTATATCAAACCTACATGGACTCTGGATACTCAACAATATCCCATGAGTTACTTCAAAATATTGAGAAAGTCTTAAAAATGGATGGAACCCACCCAACCACTGTATTTTATTAATTCAAGCTGAGAAGCTTGGGGTCTTTTGAGGATGCTGGGGGAGAGTAACCTTGTTACACGTAAAGCCCAACCAAATCCAAATCAAATCGCAAATAGAAGAATATTATTCAGAGTTCCTCGCGGCAAAATTCATTTACCAGCTCCCAGTTTTCAAAAGAATTTGCAATTAATAAAAACAACGAAGCTGCACAGACCAGATGCTTAGCCTTACCACAAACAACGAAGCAGGCTTTCAAAGATGCCTCAAAACATCCGTGGCCTTTATGGACCTGACAGCTGCGTATGATACCTACACTGTGGAAAGAAGCCCGCATACGATTCGTGCCATGCCAGACCATTATAAAACGTATCATGGCACGACATTAAAGAAGTTAGTGACGAAGAACAATCATATTATACATGTACATGCGTAAGACGGAGATAGATATTCAAAGACTAAAAAACGTTACCTTATAGATATATCATAATTTTAAGTGGCGAGTGTTAACCATAAGTCGAGTTTAGTCAAATAGCAACGATTTGAAACCACATTACGTGCTTTAATTGACAAGACAATTATTTAGTACTAGTTTTAAAACTTTTTAACACTGATAAAATTTAGTATGTGGCGCTATTAAACTAAACCGGAAAATTAGGATGAACTGAACTAAATTGGTCTCCCATATCTAATCTTCTTAATATCCGTACTTTAAATAGATATAAACGAGTAATGTATGAACCTTTGTAATTATGCAAAACTTTCAAACATTAACATGTAATAATAACTGTTCCAACGAACCACTTGTGCGAACTTCTCTTTTAATATATCAAAAATAACACAATTGCCAATTTACACTGATTTCTAATCACATTCTCTCTTGACATCAACTTCACAATGAACAAAAACAATATAATCCACGTTTTTAGATATTACGTTATCTTTTCGTGAGTTCATTTCTTCAGTAATGGATATCAGCGATGGGAACTGATATCAACAGGGTTATTAGAACCTTAGTGGTATAGTGGTGCTGGTGGAGTTCATCAATTCATATAATTTGACGATCGCTGCGTATGATGTATGAAGAAAGGGTATTCTATATTCTGTAATTTGTTTTTATATTGGTGGAGGCAAACGTTATTTTATCGGAACATCATTTTAATCACCATAAAGTTTGTACACCAATAAACGACGTTTCACCAGCAAATCTGGTTAATTCGGGTAAAAGACGAACTCTCACTTTTTAATAACGAATACTATCCAATCATAAGAGGCGCTTATTGAAGGAAAATACAAGCAAAAACTCCTTTGCTTAACATGACTATCATTTACTTCTTAATAAGAATGCAAACTGTTTATCGATGGTAAATTAAATAACGAACGATATTTTAAAAATACTCTTATAAATAAAATTGGGTTATCTTGAATTATCTTTGAATTATCATGTAGAACATAAACCACTTTGGGCTACTAGTATTGAGTTGCCCAATAGATTAAACACTTTTAATTGTATAGCACAACTATTATTTCCAGATAATCAAAGATCTTGATTATCACTCTATATAGGTTCAATAACATGTTGTAAAATTGTCTCGCACTCTCACGTCATAACGAGCGAAAAAAACAACATATTTATCTTATCTAAACGGTATTTCAATCAGATAAGTTTTCGTTGTCCCTCAATGGCTCACGATACAATACGCATTCGGATATGCAATAAAGAAATCACGACCACTAACGATATCAATATTTTTTAATTTGCATAAACTCTGCAATATCCTTAAAATCAATATAGCAGGCTTAGTGTTTATTGCGATTTTGGATTATTACGTTGCCCCTTTCAATAACGTACGTTTTTGATTTTATTGTTAAAAAAATATTGATTGGCGTTGTATTGTATTTAAAAAAATATGTAAATATCAAAAGTTCCTCGGAAACAAGAATGTTGGGAAATAGATCGATATAATAAACCTAAAACTGACGAAATCCAAATATAAAATGCATATACATAATCATATGTATATTTACATTTATTTTATGAATATATTAACGAAATTTGAATCATCAAACGAAACTACGTAACGCAATGAACTTTAACACTTTTTAGAGGATCAACAAGATAACAACATATTTCAAACATATTCATGTCTAAGATATCTTTGTATTTAATAGGCCCATTACAGTACCTGAAAACTTTACATAACCTACATTCGCATTTTTACAATATATTCACACTGTAATTGCTTAGTATTTTTGCACCAATGCAAATGTTAAAATGTCACATAAATCAACCCCTGAACTTTTCCCCAAAGATAAACACCTTGTATCATGAAATTAATCTACAGCTGTTAGCAGTCGTAATATTTCATTAGCAAAACAATATTTCTATTATTTGTAATGTTGCTAATTATTATATTTAATAGAAGAATAAGTTTTGATCCATGTTTCACCAAAATTAATATAAAATAGAAAATTACTCAACACTTTTACTGATTTTATTATTGTCATTAAAATATTTCGTCTGCCATCAAATAAGCGTTGTACAAAAAATAATGTTTACAAAATTATAATTATTACATGTAATTAAAGTTGATAATGGTGATATTTCACATTTAAAAAAAAAACAATGCTATCACCAAATATATCGTGTTCTAGAGCATTGCCACAAAGGAGGACACAGCATAAAGTTCGATAAAACCAAAGTGCTAGCAAGAAACGAACATTACTTCCAAAGATTGACGAGAGAGGCAATGGAGACTCATCGACATAGGAAAAATATGAATAGAGAAGATGGTTGGGAACACAGCCGCACATGGAAGATACTAGTGAACTCAACGAAGCCTTCTCCACCCGGATTTGACAAAAACAACTTAGTTGACAATTACACACTAAATTAGTTATTAATTACCTTTTCATGTATTTATTGTCAAATTTTAACCGAATTCGTTTCTGAAGAAGGTTGCAATATGGCATCCGAAACGTCAAAAATTTTTTCAAAAAACGCACGGCTTAACCCGAAAGTTTCTAGTTCTAGGTCTAGTGTTAGTTCTAGTTTAAATATCGTGTTCTATTATTAGTAATGTTTCGAAAATCACAATTCATAATAATGAAAGTAAATGTTTTGGAAAAAATATTGGCAAAGAAGAGATTAAATCAGGAAGTGCATATATTCTCTGTATGTCTCATCTAGTAGCAGTGAAGATTTGAAAGGAAAGTATTAATGTTGTTTCTCTATTCTTCCGTTTCTTTTCATAGAAATTCTAAACTGCAGTTGAAATATTTGTTTTTTTTTAACATAATACATATAACATAATAATGTGATATAATGTTGCAGAAATAATGTTGTAAAATAACTTGGAAGAGTTGTGGAAAAGAAGACAATAATGGAATAAGATTAGTTTAACGATGCAGGTATACAAACAGTTTTATATGCCGAAATTCACCCAGTGCACTGGCAATATCAATATTGCAGAAAGAGAAATTTGGAAGATGAATACAAGGTCAAAGTTTCCTTTTATAGGCATACTTTTCAAACCAAATTCGATTTATCTTCTAGTAATCCAAAAAGCGCCACTTATAACATTCCTAATCCTGGAGACAAATGGGATGAATATCGAAAAAGTGGGGAATATGCTTTTAATTCCCAAGAAATAGATATATGTATAAACAAATTCTTCTAAATCTTTCTAGCTAATCCAGACCTCAACTTGTAGATTTTTATGTCATGGGACAGAAGATATCCTCAATAAAAGTAACCAATTTCATGGTTACTTCAAGTTACTTAAAAGAAAGAATTCATGGTTATCGTATATGGTTACACGCAAGCGGAGGCCAAAACCGAAACTTCAGTATAGTTTGTCTGTCAATATTTAATACCGTTAAGTTTTTGAAAATTATTGATCGTAAGTTCCCCGAACTTCATTTCTGCATAAAGAAAGTAGATTTGCATAAAAAGGTCCAAGGGTAATTCGCACTGGAGACTAATTTTAAACGTGTTGTCATAATGTGGAGATCTAACTGTAGAAAGAATTTTTAATTTTGGAAGGCATCTGAAATTTTTAGTTGAGCACTTGAAAGACTATAGTCTATGAAGCTATTTTTTAAGAGGGTAGACTTAACCCCTTCGGGATGGCAGTGGAACGGTGCTGATGACCAATGCC